TAAAACTTATTTACAAAGTTTCCACTGGAGCTGAATCTAATTCCAGCTCAACTGTTTTTAAAGTTTTAACAGGAAAATGAGCTCACACAGTGCCCAAAGTCATCAAGTTTATACTTTAATACTAAGCCTCCTGGAAGCCTAGGGAATATATACTTCATAACTCTCTGAAACAATAGTAACCCATATTTTTCCCCACTAAAAAATGTAAAAAAATTGGCATAGTCCTGATGTGAAGCATCTCTGTACCTTCACAGAAACATACAATGGCTATAAAATAATGTTTTCATTCAGAACTGGATGATATGTGTGTTTGTGTGTGTGTCTGTGTGTGTGTGTTTCAAAATTAACTGAGGTAGGGGTGCCTGGGTTGCTCAGTTGGTTTAGCATCTAACTCTAGATTTCTGCTAGGGTCATGGGATTGAGCCCTGTGTTGAGCTCTGTGCTGAGCATGGAACCTGCTTGGGATTCTCTCTCCCTCTGCCTCTGCCCCTCCCCCACTCACACATGCACAATTTTCTTTCTCAAAAAATTATTTAATTAATTAAAATAAATATTAAAAACACAAAGTTAACTGGGGAATATTACCACCTCTTCTAAAAACATGTTTTCATAATTTTGTGGAAGGTAGAAGGAATTGTGGAAATTTTCAGATGAACACAAAAGTAGAGATAATAATATAGTGAACACCCATGCACCCATTGCTCAGCTTCAACAATTTTCCTTTTTTCCAATCATCTTATTTCCACTCAGCTTTGTTTTCTAGATGATTTTAAAGCAATTCCTAGACAGCATATTATTTTACTTATAAATGTTTCAGCATATATCTCTGTAAGGACTTTTACAAAGGTATAAGCACCATGCTATTATCACATTTAACAAAATTGCTAATAATTTCTTATTATAATCTAATACCCAGACAGCTATGGTCAGAGTTCCCTGATCATCACAAGTTTTTGTTTGTTTGTTTGGTTTTTTATATTTTGTTTTTGTTGTTTAAGTCAGGATCCAAACAAGGTCCATACAATGCATTTAGTTGACAGGTGACTTACGTCTCTCTTAGTCAACAGCATTAGCCCTCTCTTCCCTCCCCGGTGATCTGTTAAAAAAAAAATCCAGTTCACTTATTCCATTGAACTTCTCACATTAATAGTTCTGGTGACTGCCTCTTCATTATGCCATTTAATTTCTTCCCCTATGTCTGTGTTTTGTGACAATTAGACCCAGAAGATTGACCATTTAAGTGCAATTATGTGTTTGTGCTGGGTTGCTAGAATACCTCATAGGTGGTGCTGCATATTTGCCAATGTACATAATGTCTCATCATAACATTCAGATTGGTGAGCACGTTGGGTTTCACTGGGCCAAAATCAAGGTGTCAGGAGGGCTGCAGTTCTCTCTAGAGGTCTAGGGGGGAATCTATTTCCTGGTTCTTTCAGCTCCTAGAGGCCTCCAGCGTTCCCTAGCTCACGACCCCCTTCCGTGTTCAAAACCAGCAGTGGCTGGTCAAGTCTTACTCACCTTATATCACTCTGACACAGGCTCTTCTGTCTCCTTCCACCTGCAAGGCCTCTTGTGATTACAGTCAGCCCTCCCAGATAATCCAGGAGAATCTCTTTATTTTAAGGTCAGTTGGTTAGCAACCTTAATTGTCTCTGCGATCTTCATTCCCCCTCTCATGTAGCATAAGCTCTCCTAGGTCCTGGGGATTAGGGTGCAGACATTTTTGGGAAGCCATTATCCTGCCTGCCACATTCATTCTCAGTGAGCTACAGATCTGAGGAAGGGTACAGAGAGAACATTCTGAACCACTTTCCTACACTTCCAAGAGCAAATGGAGTGTTGGACTTATACCAACTGGGCACCTTTGGGGAAAGCATAATCACACACTGGGACAGGAAAAACATCAGGATGCTCTTCGATCTCAGAGTCAGTGCTGAGAACCGACAGAACTGAGATTCTCCCTACAATCTTCTCTGCCATGTGTGATTTGTATAAACGTTTGCAAAGGATGCCTCATCTCTCCTCCAAGTAAACTTGTTTTGGTGAGATTTCTACCCCACTTTGTCAAATAGCAAACATTGTTCTTAAAAAGTCATAAGCATGAGTATGTAAAGTATATTTTTAAAAATTTGTTGTTATTGCAAAAAGTAAAAAGGAAGAAGATGGAAATGTATTTTTTTCCTGAAAAGTGAATATTATAAACAAGTTGCTTGGATTTGAAAGAAAGACTGTGGAAGCACTGATAAAGATCTGTGCTAAAACTCGTGGCTGTTATGACTGTCAGTCCCCCGAGTAAAAGTCTGACCAGCCACAATGTCACTGAGCATGGACCCCAGCATCAATCTCCCTGGGTCTCTTATGAAGAATCCTGAATTGGGTTTTGTATGGACCAACACTACAGACCATGGCATGCAGCCTCCAACCTGACTATGACTTCAACCTCATGTGCTGGCAGACATTGCCAACACATGGCAGTGATACTCTTGACTTTAATACAGTGTTTCCCTTTCCATGAGAGACTGCCTGAACCTTCTAAGGTGATGTGTCTCTTCAATCCCTTCTAAGATGATATGTCCCTTCTCATTAGCTTGCTCTCTGCTTAGCTCATTGAAGGAAAAAAATGTAAAGTTTGCCTTAACCTAGTGCGTGTGTGTGTGTGTTTGTGAGAGAGAGAGAGAGAGAGGGAGACCAATAGTGGCTCTTGGCATTTCCATTTTTAGACAGAACAAACCCGAGTTTTACTTTTAATCTTCAGTAAATACTAAGAATAAATCATGTTCTGTCCTCACTCACCTCCTACCACCCTAATCAGACAAACATGCAAACTTGCTAGAGGGGCAACATTTCATCAAAGCACCACTCCCTTTCCACACACCTTTCAGAAGCTTCCAGAAAATGGGGGGGGGGGCAGAAATGAAGATGCAGTACTGTAGCAATTATGACCCCAAAGTGGGCGGAAGCTGAGGTCTTTTGCAGAAAAAGGTGAGGAGACCTGGATAATGTGGGGACAAAATGTTAGGGAGTTGGAAGCAAGATCTGCAGAAAACATACAACATGATACTATTTACATGTGCTCATTGGGCGAAACAATTTCACGTATGAGTGACATATACACATGTAACAAAAGTAACTTCAAATTTAGAAAACTGTCTTGGGTATCAGGTGAGTAGGGGACAGGTGGGATGAGGGAATGAGAACCAGCAGAGGTACACAGAACTATTGCTGATGTTTTATCATTTAGCTGGGTGGTGAATACATGAGTGTTCAATGTATTATTATTTTTGTACCTTCCATACACCTTATATATTTGACAATACATTTAAAAATTTAAAAGCAGAACGCCAGAGGTGACCACAGGTGGTGCCTTCCAGACAGTTCCCTTCCCTTTGGTTTTCTGGTAACTGGTCAACATCCTTGTCTCCCTGGCCTGCCCTGGCTCTACAGAGTATCCTGGGAAGAGTGGCCACATCCTTTCTGAGCATGGATCTGTTTGTTTGTTTGTTTGTTTTTAAGTTTATTTATTTTAGTAATCTCCACACTCCATGTGGGACTCAAACCCATGACCTCAAGATCAAGAGTCACGGGCTCCTCCACTGAGCTAGTCAAACGACCCCGCTGCACAAATTTGAATACGCTTGGGCAGTGAAGTAGACTCATCAGAGACTTGTAGTCTTACATTGACGTTTCTCCAGCCCATTAGCTCAAAACTTCCAACTCTCCCCAGGCCCAAGGGTCTGGTTGGGTCTCATCCCTGACCCGGTCTTGAGAAGTGAGACCGACTAAAGGAGACTGCCAGGGCCCAGACCCACCCTGTCCCAGGCACTATAGATGGCCTCAGTTTCCTCAGCCCGGTGCACTGAGACCTCGAGCTCCTGGAGAGAAGGTAGGAGAGTGTTTGCTGAGAGGCCTCCAGTGGTTCTTCTGGCTGGACTCGGGTGCTGGAAGTGGTGAGATAGGGAAACAAACATCTATTTATCAGGATTTTAAGAGGCAGGAAGAAGACAGAAGGAGATCTCTCAGAGGAAGGGCAGTTGGAGTCAAGATAGGACTGAATGCTCCAGGGCCCCCCTCAAATGCTACTTACGCCCCTGGGGGCGCGGGCTGGGATCAGTCCCCCGGCATCCGACTCCTCGTTTCCTTCGCGCGGCTGCGCTGCTCCTTGGATGCCCTGCACCGCGGTGCGCACGGCGGGGTCCCCATAATACCCCCCGGGAGCCTGACGCGGAGCCAGACCCTTCGAGAGAGCGCCCAGAACACGTTTGGTAATAAAATTAGAATGAACGAACTGAAACCTGACGGTGTCGCGTAACACCTGGGTGTGAAGTCCGCAGGGGAAGCCGATCGAAAGGACAATTCTGTTTTTCTTTCACCAAAATGCCATCGCCGGAGCCCTCCAGGCCCCCCGCAAGCGGCGACACCCGCGGCCTGTCTCGGGTCCGGTCATCATCCCTTTACAAATTAAAACACCCGCAAAAGGAGGCAGAATCCAACTTTTTGCATTGGGACGTGGGGGACGCGAGAAAGCGGAAGCTTAATTTTCTGCTTCGCTCCCCAACCACCGCTCGCACCTCCTCACTACCCTAGGATATAGCTGAGAGCAAGTCGAGCTGAAATCCCGGGGCTGCAGGCGTTGGGAGGAAACACCTGCGAAGCGCGCACTCTGAGGCTGCGCTGCCCAGGGAAGCGCTGGAGAGGGGCGAGGGACGACGCGAGGGCGCGCGGTGGCGCCCGGAACTCCCTCCCTGGGTGTTGGGGGTGGGGGTTGAGACACGCAGACTTCAAAAAAATTAATCAGAAAACAGAGAAACAACAAAGAAGATCCCCCATCCCTCCCCCAAAACCCCACCTGTATCCACCAAAAGTAACCAAGGCTGTTGTCCTTGCAGAAGTGGGCTCCCAGGTGCACAGAAATGGTACTGTTGGTTTATCCCACTGTCACCCGCGCGGGGTCCCGCCCCGTGAGGTGTCACCTGATTCCCCTGATATAGGCGGAGGCCCTTCAGAGTCAAGATTCCTGTTGCGGACTTGGAGGCTCCGTCGCCTTCTGCCGGAGGGAAGCTCTCTGCAGAGGAGAAGAGTTGGCCGGTAAGGCATCACCCGCTCTCCTTTGCACACATCCTGCAAAAGCTGGGCTTCTTTCGCTCCCCAGATCTGCGCCCGTCGCGCGAACTCCCCCGCGCTCGCTTCCCGCTCAGGAGCTTGCCCTGCTGTCAATAGCAACTTCCAACGACAGGCGCTCCGTGGAGGTCGGGGAGCAGGGAGGCTGGGAACGCCGAGCGAACAGGGGAGGAGGCGCGCACCAGTACAGCCCAGATCTTACCACACTGAGCTTGGTAAAATGTCCCACTGTTCAGGAGGAGCACGAAGAACTTTAGAGGAAAGAACCACATCGGTTGCCGGGTCTCCGTAAGTGAAGCTATGAGGTTGTGGCCCCGGGACAAGATAGGTTCAGGGTCCATTGTATTACAAGAGGCTGCGTTCTGAGGATGCAAGGTCAGTCTTCAAACAGTAACAGCATGGGCCAGGGTAGAGGAGTCCCAGGGCGGTCCACGGAGCCCTGTATCCCCCAGCAAGTGGCTGAAAGAACTCCCGTGGATTCTGTCCAGAGAGGCTGGGCTGCCGTGAGTGACTCCATTCCCCGTTTGCGCGTGACCCTCGTAGGACGCAGATGGAACTCCCTGCAGTGAAGTGCCTAAGAGGGGAGAAGGGTTGCTTAACGGTGCCCCCCTCCCCCACTGTTGGCAGGTCTTAGAGCGAAGCCTCTACAAGGAAACGGGGGTTCCGGCGTGTTGGCAAGGATATGCCTGCCTTGAAACGGAAAGAGAAACTGGTTCTTCTTCAGTCTGTAGGGGGCAGAGGTGAGAGCTCTGCGGGCGGATGAGCCGCTAAGCGATAGCGTCCTGTGTCAGAAGTGTTCCTTAAAAGGTCACAAGACTCTTCAATTCTTTTGTTTAAATAAGAAAATGAACAATCACATGTTTTAGTGCCTTCTTGTGAATCAACGAAGAGTGAATTCGGCTGTTGGCCTGAATCTGAAACTGTGCAGGTTGTTTATGCCTACCAGAAAACAGAAAGGGGGCGCCTGGGTGGCTCAGCTGGTTAAGCCATTGGCTCTTGATTTCCGCTCAGGTCATGATCCCAGGGTTGCAAAATGCAGCCCTGGGACTGGCTTAGCGCTGAACGTGGAACCTGCTTTAAATTCTCTCTCTGCCCCTCTCCTCCGCGTGCTTTCTCCCTCTAAAATAAAATAAAATTAAACTAAAGAAAGAAAGAAAGAAAGAAACCGGTAATCAATTTCAATATTATTGTCATAGCAACAGGACATTAAATTTACAACCATTCATAATTATAGTATCCCTCAAGGCTAATGGACATGATCACAGGCCAGGGCAACAGTCTCTGAAGACCAGGTGTCCTAGAGGGTTCCTTTGCTAGGAAAAAAATCTGCAGGGACAATTTTATGAAATGGAATACTTCCTGCTTTTATACACCTATAATGGAAGCGACAGCATATTCTCTTATTTTGCTGGGGTGATTTTCACTGGCAGTTAGGAGGGCCTGCTGTTTTCCACACCAAGCGTTGGATTTCCACTGAGAAGGAACTTGGCAGGCCTGAAAGATGTAAATTCACAGTTTGCAAGGGAAAATACAGGGTGTGGTGGTGATTACTAGGGAGTGAATATGGGGCATGCCCACGTGTCCTTTTGGAGTATGCACAATTTGGGACTCAAATAACCTAGTCCTATCAAAGGTTTGGTTTCTCTGGAAAAATCTCAGTAATAGCAGGGCACATCAATTTCCACTGTTTTTTTGCTAAGTATAACAAAGTATGTTTTACTTTGTTTCACCAACATTCACACATGTAATATTTTTTAAGTTTATTTACTTATTTGAGAGAGAGACAGACAGACAGCATGGAGAGGAGCAGAGAGAGAGAGAGAGAAAGAGAGAGAAAGAGAGAGAGAGATCCCAAAAGGCTCTGCGTTGACAGGGCAGGGTTTACTCTCACTACCTGAGAGATTCTGATCTGAGCTGAAATCAAGAGTTGGATGCTTAACTGACTGAGCCACCCAGGCGCCCCTCAGATAGGCAATTTTTAATAGCTTTATTAGAGTATTGTTAACACAAAATAAACTGTATATATATATATATATATATATTTTTTTTTTAAGTAAAGCTCTATGCCCAACATGGGGCATGAACTCAGACCCCAAGAACAAAACCATGTTCTACCGATTAATCAGCCTGATGCCCCTCAACTGCACATATTTAAAGTGTACAAGCGGAGGCACCTGAGTGGCTCAGTCGGTTAAGCACCTGACTCTTGATTTCAGCTCAGATCATGATCTCACAGTTGGTGAGTTCTAGTGCAGTGTCGGGCTCTGGGTGAAAGCATGGAACCTGTTTGGGATTCTCTCTCTCCCTGTCTCTCTGCCCCTCCCTGACTATTATGAACCTTCAGGCACAGGTCTTTGTATGGACATATGTTTTCATTTTTCATGGGTAAATACTTAGGTGTGAAATGGCTGAGTCATATGGAAAGTGTGTGGAACTACCAAAGTCTTTTTTCTTTCTTTTTCTTTTTCTTTTTTTTTTAAAATGTTTTATTTCTTTCTAGGAGAGAGAGAGAAAGAGACAGCATGAGCAGGGGAGGGTCAGAGAGAGAGGGAGTCACAGACTGAAACAGGCTCCAGGCTCTGAGCTGGCAGTCATCACAGAGCCTGATGCGGGGCTCGAACCCATGAACTGCGAGATCATGACCTAAGCGAAAGTTGGACGCCCAACCGACTAAGCCACCCAGGCGACCCCCAAAGTCTTTTTTCTAAAATGGTTGTATTTATGTTCCTGCCAGGAGTGTGTGAGTTCACTTTTCTCCATATGCTCACCAATACCTGGTATGGTTGGTCATTTTAGCTATTCAGATAAGTGTGTAGTGCTATCTCACAAGTTTTATTTGGTATTTCCTAATGACTGATGATGTTGAATAGTTCATGTACTTATTTGCTCTTCACATCTCTTCTTAGGTGGAAGAGCTGTTCAAATCTTTTATCCATTAAAAAAATGTTTAATGTTTATTTATTTTTGAGAAAGTGCACGTGAGCGGGGAAGGGGTAGACAGCATCCCAAGCAGGCTCTGTGCTGATAGCAGCGAGCCTGATAAGGGGCTCAAACTTTCAAACCGTGAGATCATGACCTGTGCTGAGACCAAGAGTTGTATGCTTAACTGACTGAGCCACGCAGGCGCCCCATTATCCTTTTTAAAAATTTTCTAATACAATTTATTTCAAGTTAGCTAACATACAGTGTATATAGTGTGCTCTTGGTTTTGGGGATAGGTTCCCACGATTCATTGCTTACATACATCACCCAGTGCTCATCCCAACAAGTGCCTTTCTCGATGACCATCACCTATTTCCCCCTCTCCCTTGCCACTCCCCCCATCAACCCCCAGTTTGTTCTCTGTATTTAAGAGTCTTTTATGGGTTTGCCTCCCTTTCTGTTTGAAATTATTTTTTCTCCTTCCCTTCCCCCATGGCCTTCTGTTAAGTTTCTCAAGATCTACATGTGAATGAAAACATATGATGTCTGTCTTTCTGACTTACTTATTTCACTTAGCAGAATACCCTCCACCAGAATACCCTCACTTAGCAGAATACCCTCCTCTCATCCACTTTGTTGCATCCATTATCCATTTCTAAATCGGGTTGTTTTCTTATTACTGCCTTTCAAGAGTTCGGTGTCTAATCTAGATACAAATTATCAAATATATCATATGCAAGTATTTTCTTCTGGTCCAACATATTAACTTTTTTCTTTTATGTATTGTACATTTAGTGACATCTCTAAAAAACTGTTTGCCAAACCCAAGGTAAAGATATTTTCTCCCATGTTTTCCTCCGGAGGTTTTGAGGTCGAGAGACTGAATATACAGATGGACACTGGCCAGACCATATATAATCCAGAACTCTTGACCCACAATACTGGAGCAACCGCCTCCAGAAGCCAAACCACAGCCCTAGCAGCAAAAGTGGTCAGGACTTGGTTAATAACTCCCAGATTCCCTGAAGTTTGTCCTCACTTCTAACTCAGAATGAACCAAAGAAAGCTCAATAGGCTTCCAAACCAGTCCCATAAGGTGTGCCATTTCTAGTAAGCTCACTTACAGCTTTGTTGGAAAAACAACTTCAAATCAGGGCTTACCCAAGCCCTCTCCCTCACTATAAAGCTTCCCAATTCCACTGCCTGCCTTTTGAGTCTCTACCATCACAAGTGGCTGACTCCCTTGTCACAGTGTGCTCTGAATAAATAGTCTCTTGTTATTCCCATTTGTGCAGTCTTCATTTATTTCCACGTAGTCTTAGGTTTTACATTTAGATGCATGACACATTTTAAACAAATTTCTGTAAATGGCATCAAATATGAATTGAAGTTCGTTTCTTTCGTATGTGGATATCCAGTTGTTCCTCCTCTTTGTTGAAAAAAAGCTTACACTTTCTCTACTCTGCGTCTTTGTTGTCCATGTATATGTGGGTCTATTTCCAGACCCTTTCTTCCATGAATCTGTCTTTTTATATTGGCTCTACACTGTCTTGCTTACTGTGACTGTATATTAAGGCTTGAAATCATTTAATATTAGTATTTCAATTTTATTCTTCCTTTAGAGAGATTTAAGTTTAAAATATCTTATATATTTACCCTTGTGGTTACCATTTCCAGTGTTGTTTTTTGCTCTGTGTATATTCATTTTCCAACTAGTATCATTTTCCTCCTGCCTGAAGACTATTTTCTTAGCATTTCTTAGATTGCAGTTCTACTACTAATAAATTCTTTCAGCTTTTATCTATCTGAGAAAGTTTTAATGATTTTTTTTTTATTTCTAGGAGAGAGAGAGACAGCGTGAGCAGGGGAGGGTCAGAGAGAGAGAGAGACACAGACTCCGAAACAGGCTCCAGGCTCTGAGCTGGCAGTCAGCACAGAGCCTGACGCAGGGCTCGAACCCACGAACCGCGAGATCATGACCTAAGCGAAAGTCAGTCGCTCAACCAACTAAGCCACCCAGGCGCCCCTATCTGAGAAAGTTTTTATTTCACCTTTTTCTTTTGATTAATTTATTAAATTGAGATGGAATTCCTATAATAAAATATAATCATTTTATTTTTTATTAAAAAATTTTTAAGTGTTCATTTATTTTTGAGAGAAAGAGAAGGAGAGAGAGTATAGGAAGGGCAGAGAGAGAGAGGGAGACACAGAATGTGAAGCAGGCTCCAGGCTCTGAGCTATCACCACAGACCCCAACAGGGGTCATGTGTAATTTCGACAGTCATAGTTTCAGAAGACATAACAAGAAAAACAATGGCCTCTTACACTTTATTCTGCCCCCTTTTTCTGCTCTCTAGGCATCCTTTTGCCTTTTTCATTCAGGATTATTTATATATTTCTGAACAACATGCTTATGCTTACACCTCCCCCTCCCCTTTTAAATGCTGTCTCTTTCTGGAGATAATGATCTTGCTCATCTACACTTCACTACCCCTTCTCTCCATACATCCTGCCAGTATGATTATGTCATCTTTTCAGGTCAGAACAATATTCAGAATTGATAATATTATGACTGTCACTTTGTTTACAGCTATACCATGTAATGAGTTACGGTTATGCTTTACAATACTATTTTTATTTAATCTTAGAGTTACTCTCTTGTATTTGTATTTACATGTTTCCCCAAGTCCCTTTTACTAATTCAGCCCCTAACTCTCTACCTCGTCAGGAGACTAACACAGGAAGCATCCCGTCTGTTGTATAGTCTCCATCCACTGAGGGCTGTAGCCATCTTGCTCCCATTTTGGATAGTGATCCTTTAGGTCGGCCCCACACCTGTCGTTCTGGAGTCCAGAAGGCTGTGTTTACTTCTTTTTTTTTTTTTTTTTTTAATTTAAATCATAGTTGTTCAGCATACTGTGCAATATTGGTTTCAGGAGTAGAATTCATCACTTATATACAACACCCAGTGCTCATCACAGCAAGTGCCCTCCTTAATCCCCATTACCCATCAAGCCCATGTCCCACTCACATCCCTCCATCAACCTTCAGTTTGTTCTTTACAGTTAAGAGATTCTTGTGGTTTCAGACTCCTTTCTCTTCCTTCCTGTATGTTCTTCTGTTTTGTTTCTTAAATTCCACATATGACTTAAATCATGTGGTAGTTGTCTTTCTCTGACTGACTTATTTCGCTTAGCATAATACATTCTAGCACCATCTATGGCATTGCAAATGGCAAGATTTCATTCTTTTTGATGGCTGAGTAATACTCCATTATATATATGTGTGTGTGTATATATATGTGTGTGTATATATGTGTGTGTTATACACACACACACATACATACTGCATCTTCTGTATCCATTCATCAGCTCATTTGAGCTCTCTCCATAGTTTCACTATTGTTGATTATGCTGCTATCAACATCGGGGTGCATGTAGCCCTTCAATTCTGTATTTTTTATCCTTGGGGTAAATAACTAGTAGAGAAAGTGCTGGATCATAAGGTAGTTCTATATTTTGTTGCTTGAGGAACCTCCCTACTGTTTTCCAGAGTGGCTGCACTAGTTTGCATTGCTACCAACAGTGCAAGAGGGTTCCCCTTTCTCCACATCCTCACCAACACCTGTTGTATCTTGTTACTTTTAGTCATCCTGACAGGTGTGAGGTGCTATCTCATCATGTTTTTGATTTGTATTTCCCCGATGATGAGTGACGTTGAGCATGTTTTCATGTGTCTGTTAGCCATCTGCATGTCTTCTTTGGAAAAAGGTCTATTCATCTCTTCTGCCCATTTCTTAACAGGGTTTTTTTTTTTTTTTTGATGTTGATTTGATAAGTTCCTTACAGATTTTGAGTACGAACCCTTTATCAGATATGTCATTTGAAAATTAATTATCGCATTCAGTAGTCTGCCAAATAGTTTTGTTGATTGTTTCCTTTGCTATGAAGAAGCTTTTCATCTTGATGAAGTCCCAGAAGTTCACACTTGGTTTTGTTTCCCTTATCTCCAGCAATGTGTCTAGTAAAAAGTTGCTACAGTTGTGGTCAAAGACGTTGCTGCCTGTGTTCTGCTCTAGGATTTTGATGGTAGGAAACCCATTTAGGTCTTTCATCCATTTTGAATTTATTTTTGTATATGGTATACGAAGTTTCATTCTTCTGCATGTTGCCATCCAGTTTTCCCAACACCATTTCTTTTTTTTTTTTTTAATATTTTTTTATTTATTTCTAGGAGAGAGAGAGAGAGAGACAGCGTGAACAGGGGAGGGTCAGAGAGAGAGGGAGTCACAGACCGAAACAGGCTCCAGGCTCTGAGCTGGCAGTCAGCACAGAGCCCGATGCGGGGCTCGAACCCACGAACCGCGAGATCACGACCCAAGTGAAAGTCGGACGCTCAACCGATTAAGCCACCCAGGCGCCCCCAAACAACACCATTTCTTGAAGAGACTGTCTTTTTTTTCCATTGGATATTTTTTCCAGCTTTGTCTAAGATTAGTTGACAATATAGTCATGGGTTCATTTCTGGGTTTTCTATTCTGTTCCATCGATCTATCTATCTGTTTTGGTGCCAGTACCATACTGTCTTCATGACTACAGCTTTGCAGTATAGCTTAAAATCTGGAATCAGGATACCTCCAGATTTATTTTTCTTTTTCAGGATTGCTTTGACTATTCAGGGTCTGTGGTTCCATACACACTTTAGGACTTTTTGTCCTAGCCCTATGAAAAATGCTGTTGGTATTTGGATAGGGATTACATGAAATGTGTAAATTACTTTGGGTAGTATAGACATTTTCACAATGTTTGTTTTTCCAATCCATGAGCATTGGATACTTTTCCATTTCTTTGTGTCCTCTTCAAATTCTTTCATAAGTGTTCTATAGCTTTTGGAGTATGGATTGTGTTTCCTTCTCTCTTTCAGGTTCTATCTTTGGTTTCCTGCAACCAGCTTTTGAGGAAGGAAGCTGGGGGAGCTGATAGCAGGACATGTTGGTTCACAGAGAAGTATCTCTTGATGGAGAGCGGTGTTATTATGTGTGAGTTCGTCTAGTCACTCCTTTTGACTCAGCTGCCACAGATGAGTTAAAGATTGGCAGCTGCAAAAATGTGCATCCCTCACACCTGCCCTTCCATAATGTGGTGTGGTTCCAAGATGCTGTGTCTGCACACGTTCACTCAGCCCTACCTCTTCTGAGATCCCCTGTTGTCATTGAAGTTTAGGAAATGCCAAAAGCCCACCTTAACTTGCCAACTGGATTAACCCAGCAGTCAATAATTTGTCTGTTTTGAACAAATTACATATATGTGTATATATGTATATGTATATATATTGTATATATAATTTTTCACGAGATGAGAACTTCTTGGGTGAGGGAACACTTGAGGATCTGTTCCATAGCAACAATGACAATTTACCAACTCAGTCAGATATGCTTCTTCCACAATGGGGCTATAAAATAATCCAAGAATAGCCCAGGTGTCAGTGAGCGAATGACCATCAACAAAACCAATACACATCAGCACACCCCTGAGACACCTCTGCCAGTGAAAGCTTTCAAGTTGCATTACAGCCCCAGTCCTCATGTATCTTTGCACAGTTTCTTGTTTTCTGCAGGTGTTCTGAGAGACTTTGTCACTCAGAGATTACAGTGAAGTTACTAAAATCAGAGCATCAAAATAGCTTCTGGATCATTTCTCTGATAGAAGTAGGATTCCAGGAGACTTAGCTCCAACAACAAAAAAACAAAAATAATTAAAAAAAAAAAAAAGAATAAAAAAAAAAAGGAAAAAAAAAAATAAACAAAAAAAAAAAAAAAGACAAAAAAAAATGAATTACCAACAACCCTATGCTTGTCATATTCTAATAATACTATCTTCCTGTTTCTTAGGAGAATACTTCAGGGTAGGTAAAGGACACGTGCTGAGAAGATGAGTCTCAAGGTTGATTTGGAAACAAACTATGCCGAATGTGTCTTAAATGTAGGAAAGATCATCCTTGGGGAAATGCAAAGGAAAGAAATGAATCCTGAACTGCAGGAAAAACAGAGGGAAAACATCTTGACAGCAATATGTGCTCTGCTGAATTCTGGTGGTGGAGTGGTCAAGGCTGAGATTGAGAACAAAGACTACAATTATGAAATCCATGGAGCAGGACTGAAGATGCCTTCAATTTTTAAAGGCTATTTAGATGAGATGCAGCAGGGAGAACTCTTTTTTATTTTTGTGAGATCCTGGAACGCAGAGGTCTCTGGTGTACGACTCGCTACCTTGTGCTCCAATTTGTACCACAGATACAGAGCAGCGACTGATGTCATGGATCCTAAGGAAGCGCTGGCATTCCTCAAAGGAAAAACTCAGACTCTTAGGAATACTGATTCCAGTTCATTAAGTCCACATAAAATTCAGGTTGGTGTGCGAAATGAGCATAACATAAGGGTGTCAGCTGCTGCTTTATTTGCTAGAACTCAGCTTCAGTACCTAGAAAGGCTCAACTTTACTAAGTCCCTCCATGTTGAATTTAAAATGTTCTCAACAGAGGAGTCACAGTGCTTTCACGAGAGTCTCCCCAGTTGTGTTTCTGCATTTGCAAACACTGAAGGAGGGTATATATTTTTTGGTGTGGATGATGAGACCCATCAAGTCATTGGATGTGAAAAGGAGAAAATAGATCCTGACACCTTGAAGGTTTCTATAGATTCCTGTATTAGGAAGCTACCTGTCCATCATTTCTGTACACAGAAGCATGAGATAAAATATGCTGTCAGATTCCTTGAAGTACACAATCAGGGGGCCCTCCATGGATATGTCTGTGCAATCAAGGTGGAACAATTTTGCTGTGCGGTGTTTTCCAAGATGCCCAGTTCCTGGCAGGTGAAGGACAATCACGTGGAACAGCTGGACATGAAGAAATGGATAGCTTGGATGATGGAAGCCGACCCAGGTCAGGGAGCAGAATCCAGTATTGTAATGTTCACTTGGGGGGTGGGAGGGGAGAGGTGGGGCGGTAAGAACTAGGGTATTATTTCAGAATCTAGAGAAAGAGAGGAACTCTCTGTATCGCACTTTGCCAGATTTGTTTTTCTGAAAGATACAGTTGGTAGGTCACTGCCCTTCGCCCCCTCTGCCTATCTTGAATAACTGGCATTCAACAAAAAGATGTTACCATGTGCTAATAGACCTACTAAAGGTTAGTGCAGGGTGCTGTCGGATCCTGCAATATTTAAAAAAAATTTTTTTAATGTTTTATTTATTTCTGAGAGAGAGAGAGAAAGACAGCGTGAGCAGGGAAGGGTCAGAGTGAGAGGGAGACATAGAATGTGAAGGAGGCTCCAGGCTCTGAGCTATCTGTCAGCAAAGAGCCCGACGCGGGGCTCGAACTCACGAACTGCTAGATCATGACCTAGGCCGAAGTCGGACGCTTAACCGACTGAGCCACCCAGGCGACCCTTATCCTGCAATTTTTATTTTCACTCCCTTTCTTGTGTTCATATTCAAGTCTCTTCTTTACCTTTCTAAATATGAACTCATTTAATTATTCAGGAAATTCTTTTTTCACATGTACATATGTGTCCTCTTTAACCTAACTGTCACTTTCCCCTGCCTTCCCATTCTTGTTCCCTGGAATAAGTATTATCCCTTTCTCATTGCCGTTCTTCCATTCTGATCCCAAACACAACCAGTCCATGACTGGCTCTCTCCTTGCCTACTTTTCCTTTTCAGAGACAACATGTTCTGCTCACCAAGAATGATAAGCCAGAGTAGTGTTGGTGACGTACTTCCCTCTTGGAAAAGGAAATTCCAGATGAAATTAGACAAAATAAATTAATGGTAACATCTTCAACATTCCACAAAAAAAAGAACATTTCAGAGTCTTCTCAGAAATCTATAACCATTGACCTTTATTCCTTCTTTTTTTTTTTTAATGTTTTTTTTTTTTTAAAGAGAGAGAGCGGGGAAGAGGGAGAGACAGAGAGAGAGAGAGAGAGAGAGAGAGAGAGGAAGTGAGAGAATCTGAAGCAGGCTCCATGCTCAAAGCAAAGCCTAATTTGGGGCTTAATCTCACAACCATGAGATCATGGCCTGAGCCGAAACCAAGAGTCGGATGCTTAACAGATTGAACCATCCAGGCGCCTCAACCTTTATGCCTTCTAATCATATTTTTAAAATATAAGTATTCTAAAAAATCAAGAAGTGTGTTTCAATAGAATACAATTTGAATGAAAACTATTGCTCCATACCAGTACCTCATCCTGCCCAAGATATCAGTAAGCTTTCCTGAGTTGACTTAGGATGTATACACAAGGATCTGTGGGCCAATGCTTTGAGTTCTAAGACAAAGTCAAAGACTACAACACATCTTAGCTCTAAGCTGGGGTCTGCATTTTTGCATATTGAACTCTCACTTCTTATTTCCTAAGATCTTCCCAGACTTTCTGAGATGATCCTTGCATTGAGTTTGTCATCCACTACACCCCGCAGCAGGACCGTGTGCACTCCTAAGAACTTTGAATGTCTGGAAGCACAGCAAAAACGTTACTTTCCAGGTAATTCATGTCTGGTTGCTTTGGAATGTGTCAGTTGTTCATTTGTATGAAAACTAAAACTGGGCTCCTATATATATGATATAAAAAATCAATTCCAGAAGGTTTAAGGACTTAAATGTAAGAAACAAACCCTTCAAACTTTTAGTAGATGTACACAAATAATTTTGCATCATTGAAGGAGGACAGGACTTCCTACTCTAGACCTAAAAGTACTTACCTTAAACAAAAAGATTGATAAATTTCATTACATTAAAATTAAGAACTTCTGTTACTCAAAAGATACCTTAACGAGAGAGAAAGGATTCAGTGACAAACTTGAAGAGATTGCGAAAGCCATGTAGCTGACAAAGGATTGGTATCAAGAATATATCAAGAACTTACATAATTTTTTAAAAGCAAAAACCACCTAGTAAACTAATACACAATAGTTTTAAAGATATATTTCTCTGAAAGGGAAACACACATGTCCAGTAAACTTAGGAAGGACTGTTCAAGCCATCAGGATGAGCGAAACACACTTCAAAACCACAGATAGATACCATCTTACACTATTTAATTGAAACAACAGATGTTGAAGAGGTTCTGGGTAATCAGAATCTTTTGTTTTTCTAGAGGGAGAAATACAGAAAGAGCATGAAGGGGGGATAAGGGTAAAGGGAGAGAGAGAGAGAGAGAAAGAGAGAGAGAGAGAGAGAGAGAGAGAGAGTATCCCAAGCAGGCTCCATGCTCAGCACATAGCCCAAAGTGGGGCTCATTCCCACCACCCTGCAGAAATCACTGGTTGGATGCTCAACCAACTGAGCCACTCCAGTGCCCCAAATCAGAATCTTTTGTATATTGCTGCTACGAATTAAATTGGCTTAATCTCTTTGGACTAATTTGGTCATTTGCATACTCTACCAGTTAGTAACTTTTTCTAGTTTCTAGAGAAGAATGTATACATATGCATCAGGAGATGTATAAAATTCGAGAAATCCCCATGATTGCTCTAGGTTACTATTCATATTATAGTATGTTCACAAAGTAGAATATTATTCAGCAGTGAAAGTGAATGTACTACAAATAGGTGCAAGCATAAGGCTGAATCTGAGTGATATGTAAGTACATCTTGTCATGACATTACTCGTAGTTGTACCCAATTCTTTTATTGATTGTGTAGTGTTTCATAGTATTTCTAAGCATAGATGTTATTAATTTTAGCTGCTTTTATTGTGAAATATATTATACATACAGAAAGTACATGGAACAAAGCTATAATTTAATAAATAATAATGCAGGGAGGGGCATCTGGCTGGCTCAGAGGAGTGCGCAACTCTGAATCTCGGGGTCATGAGTTCAATCCCCACGCTAGGTGTAGAGATTACTTAAGGTAATTTAAATTTTAAAAAATAAGAATTGCTATGCAGCGAAACCTGTGTAACCACCACCCAGGTCAAAAAACAGAACTTTGCAAACTACCCTGCTACTGCTTGTTTAAGCAGTCCTTTCTTCGATGGAATTTTATATGACAACTAACTTTTTTTTTATTTTCAACAATGCTACAATATACATTTTTCTAAAAATATCTTGTGATGTTCCTTAAGGATAAATCCCAAGTAGTGGCAATTGCTTGTACGTTTTTATGAATGTTACCAAGTTGTAATTCAAAACACAGACCAGAATCCACTTTCCCCAAATGGTACTATCATGGCATTTCCCTTCTAGAAGAAACTTAGAGTCGTTTTTGTTCACCTAAAAGTAAAGGAAACATGGACATTATTTTGATGGCAACCACATGAAATTGATAAATTACTTTGGGAAGAATTGCCATTTTCACACAGTGAATTTTCTCATAGGTGAACATGGGATGTTTGGCCATTTGTTAAAGTCTTCTTTTACTATATTTCATCAAACCCAAGGAAACAATATTGCATTATGATTTAATTTACCACTAAAAAAAGAAAATATTGCCAATTAAATTAGAAGATGTACCTTGATTTCAGAGGTATTAAAGTACACTTATAATCAGTGAAATATGATACATCTTTCAATTGTTTCAGTTTTATCTGTATTGTTCTTATATATGTCAAATTTTATTCCTAGAATAAGTCAGCTGGACAAAGACAAATACCATATAATTTTACTCCTATGTGGAATTTAAGAAACAAAACAAACAAAGATAAAAGAGACAAACCAAAAAACAGACTCTGAACTCTAAATAACAAACTGATGGCTATGAGAGGGGAGGGGGTGGGGGATGGGTGGGATAGGTGATGAGGCTAACCATGATGAGCACTGAGTAATGTATATAATTGTGAAATCACTGTATTGCACACCCAAAACTAGTGTAACACTATATGCTAACCACACTAGAATTAAAATTTTTAAATTTTTTCCTAGAAGGAGATCTTTATATGATAATAATTTCTGATTGTTAATTGCTGGAATTTAGGAAAGCTCTTAGCCTTAAAATATACATTATGCCATTTCCAAACGTTTTACTTAATAATCTTATTAATGCAAAAACAAAGGTAGTTTCGCACTAATCTTTCCTATAGTTATACATTATCTCTTTACTTGGTTGAAATCACTGGTCAATAATTCCAAAATGATATTACATTAAAATAGGAGGAGAAGGAGCCATTAGTTCAGTCCACTTGTATAGAAAATGGCTTTAGTATTTGTCTGAGCCCCGACAAACGGTACTGGTGTGTCCAAGTTACTTGCTGGACACTCGATGTACCACAGTACCCCAAACTGAGCATTTCCAAAATCAGTCTTCCATTCTGACAATCTTCTATTTGTTCTGTATATTTTGCATATGAATCTGTAGTAAGTATTCTTTTTCTGCCATTTCTTCCACATTGTCTCTGTGATTTGGAGAGTCCATCCTCCACCCAGCCAATCACAGAAATCTGGATTCATCCTTGTCTCTTCCTTCTACCCTGATTTAAAATTCAAATTTTGTGTGTATTAGTTTTCTGGGGAGAAGTTCATAGATTTGGTTAGAGTGCTGATTTGGGCTTCTGATGCTAAAAGATTTAAGAAGGCTTTATATACATATAAAACAGCCAACTCTCTTTTAAAAAGAGCACTTATAATTATTAATTCTTAAAATTTATGTATGTAAAATGGGCTTTTTTTTGTTTAAAAATTTTTAAGTGGTTTTAAAGGTATAGATTCATGTAACCGCCACCAGGGTAAAGATACAGAATAATTCCATCACACACAAAAAGCCCGTTTGTTCTGTCCCTTTGGGGTCAAAGATCTCCAATCCCTAACTCCTAGAAGCCATTGATCTATTTTCCATAACTATAATTTTGCCTTTGGCAGAATGTCATAGAGGACACCTCATATAGTTTATAACCTTTGACAGGTGTTTTTTCCTGATTTATGGAGACATAATTGGCATATAAATCATATATATATAAGGGGTACAGCACAGTTTTTTTTTTCTTTATAAAAAAAGGCTTTTATTTTTTAAAGTATCTCTATACACCACACAGGGCTCAAACTCACACCCCAAGATCAAAAGTTGCATGCTCCACCACCTGAGCTGGTGTGTGTGTGTGTGTGTGTTGAGGACATTTACCAACTTTCAGGTATATTACACAGTATTGTTAACCCTAGTCAGCCTTGCAGGTGCTAGAATGGCACCATAATGCCTTCTTCTCCATTCTCGTTTCCTCCTTTTGCCTTTCACTTTAGACTTCACAGCAAAAAACTTCTTGGAGGTGCTTGCATGGCCCTTGCTGTTTCTTGTCTCGTGCTTTTACTCAGGAGTCCCCTTTTGCCTATCTCTAGCTTCTCGCATCCTTCAGAGGGCTAACTAACAGCCATCCCTTAAGAAGCACCTCTGATATCTCCTTCTTCAGAAAGACTTTCACATTTTCTTTTCTCCTGAGGGCTACCTCTGCTTGTTGATTGCATCATGCTCTATACACTTCTTGCCCATTGCATTAACCACTTTCTGTAATTATTGTTTGCCTCTGTTATGCCAGTCACTTATCATCTCCATTGGACTGGCAATTGTTTTATCTCTTTTATTACTAATGCGTCCTCGTTCTGACACACAGTTGGGCCCAAATGTGGATTGAATCTATTACGTGTAATGATGATTCTAGCTTGTCTGGGGAGTCTCCAATTTATTCCAATTCTTTTCCTGTTTAGTATTACCAGACAGAGTGGTGTATACACCAGAAAGTCTTTACAAGGAGCTGTTCTCAACACACAGAGGACTCAGAAACTTAATCAATAAGGAAATGCGCCCTTTCTCTCAAGGAATATTGATATTCTCTCGAAGCTGGGCCGTGGACTTGGGTCTGCCAGAGAAGCAGGGAGTCATCTGCGATGCTCTTCTCCTTTCCCAGAACAACATCCCACTCCTCTACACCATTCTCAGTGAGTGGGATGCAAGCTGGAAGGGCTATTCTAGGATGGTCGCCCGTACCTTAAAGCAGAAGCTGGTGAACACAGGTGGCTACACTGGGAAATTGTGCGTCACTCCCTTGATCTTCCTGCTGAATCCTGATAATACAGCAACGACTCTTCATGATTCGGATTTGCAAATTTACCCTGAGTCCTATAACCTTCTGACTATCCAGCACATGGAAGCTCTGTTACGTTCCCTTGTGATAGTCTTGCTCGGATTCCGCTCTTTCTTAAGTGAAGAGCTGGGCTCTGAGGTTTTGAGCCTACTCACAGAGAAACAGTATAAGTTGCTTTCAACGAACATTCACAAGACCAGAGAGCTGTTTGTTCATGGCTTACCTGGATCAGGGAAGACCATCCTGGCTCTTAGGATAATGGAGAAGATCAGGAATGTGTTTCACTGTCAACCAGATGATATTCTTTACATCTGTGAAAATCAGCCTCTGAAGAATTTTGTGAGGTATGCAGCCTAACTATATTCATTTTCTTTATTTCAATAACTTTAACTGGTTTGGCTTTAAGTTCACATGGGGAAAGTCATATTGTATCGACTAGGTCCAGAAGAGTTTAAGGGTAGAATTGGCTTCCTTTGTTTGAGTGGGATAACTTGACTGTGTTTCTCTACATTTTCAGCCAGAGACAAATCTGCCAGGCAGTGACCCGGAAAGCCTTCATGCAAAATGACTTCAAAAAAATTCAGCACATCATCATTGACGAAGCTCAGAATTTTCGCGATGAAGATGGAGACTGGTATGAAAAGGCAAAAAACATCACTCAGAGGGAAAAGGATTGCCCAGGAATTCTCTGGATCTTTCTAGACTACTTTCAGACTACCCACTTGAGCACCAGTGGCCTTCCTGCTCTCACAGCCCAGTATCCAAGAGAAGAGCTCACCAGAGTGATCCGTAATGCAGATCCAATAGCCAACTACCTACAAGAAGTAATGCAGAAAGTCAGAGAAAATCGTCCACGCAACGTCCCCTCTGGATCGCTGGAGATGGTTCATGAAGGTGAATGGGCTCAGGGTATTCCAGGAAATGTGGAGGTTATAGAGTCCTTGGACTTGGAAAATATGGTGGTTCAAGTAGCAAATAAATGCCACTTTCTCTTGAGGAATGGTTATTCTCCCAAGGACATTGCCGTGCTTTGCAGCATAGCAAGTGAAGTGGAAATATATAAAGATAAGCTTCTAAGAGCAATGAGGAAAAGAAGAATATCTGAGCTCGATAAGGAATCTGATCTGTTAGTACAGATCAAAGATGCATCAGATATCATGGGCAATCACATAGTGTTGGACAGTGTCCGTCGATTTTCAGGCCTGGAAAGAAACATCGTCTTTGGGTTCAACCTGATGGCTGAGCCAGCTATTTCCCACAATCTTATGCTCTGTCTGGCTTCCAGGGCAAAGAAACATCTCTATATTCTGAAGGTTTCTAATTGACAGGAAGATCCCCAGCTAAGAAACAAATAGGTAGCTCTCATCTCTACTTAACTATGAAACTATTTGATCAGCAAAACATTTAAATATAGAGTATTTAATGAGCACTCACTCTGAGCCATGTATTATCCAAAATGCTGGGGATCAGGGGTAGGGTAGCAAACAAGGCAGACAAGATGTCTTCTTTGGGGCAGAGGTAACTCACAGACAAGTAAACAAATACAAGTACAAGAAATTTCAGATAGGGTTACCTGCTTAGCTCAGTTGGTTAAGCCTCCAGTTCTGGGTTTCAGTTTGGGTCATGATCTCATGGTTTGGGTACAGTCGACTCCCTCCTCCCTCTGTCAGGCTCTGAGATGACAGCAGAAAGCCTGCTTGGGATTCTCTCACCCCCCACTCACTCTCTACCCCTATCCCATGTTCTCTCTCTCTCTATCTCTCTAAAAATAAATAAATAAACATAAAAAAGAAATTTTAGATAGTAATAAGGGACATCAGATATTAATTAGAAGACCCTAAGAAATGGAGATTGGTGTGTGTGTGTGTGTGTGTGTGTGTGTGTGTGTGTGTGTGTGTACATATAGGAAGGTAGATAGAGGGAGGAGTTAGTTATTCACGGTGGTTGGGAAGTACTCAGTGAGGGAAGGAGTCACAAGAAGATCTTTGAGCCATATGTCATATGTGTCAGGCAGACTCAGTTTGACTTTTTAATAATATTCTCACTATTATTAATACAGCAATCGTCCAGAAATCTTGAATATCATGTACTGGGAGAATATGAAGGATGGAGAGAGGTCGTGTGTCTGGCCTTTTATGGGTCAGGAATGGTTGTGCAATATTTCAAATATAAGATCAGAAAGTACAAATTGTAAATTTCTACAAACCACATCACACGATTCTTCTCCATTAAAAAAATTTTTTAATGTTTATTTTTGAGAGAGATGATGAGAGAGGAGAGCAGGGGAGAGGGGAGGGATAGAGAGAGATGTAGACACAGAATCTGAAGCAGGATCCAGGCTCTGAACTGTCCGCACAGACCCCGATGTGGGGCTTGAATTTGTGAACTGTGAGATCATGACCTGAGCTGAAGTCCACCGCTTTACTGGCTGGGCCAATCAGGCATCCCTATTCTTTTCCATGTTATTCTATTACTGGTGTTAGTAATTCTGATCACTATCTTTGAAAACATTTTGTGTACCTTTTGGTTATTTGGAATCACAGCCCCCTTAGCTCTGCTTTAATTTTATTCCCGTGGAGAATCTTAGGTTACTGCATAAAGATAAGACTCCCACAATTCCCCAGGGAGACACATTGTATTTTATTTCTTACTTTTAAAATAAAAGGGCCCCTAAGAAGAAGAATGTACTGGACTCAAAAATTACATTTTGCTCTTCATTTAATTTAATAGCCAATGAAAAGATAAAATAAATATACGATATCTTTATTCTGCAGATTCTATAGGATTTCAACTAATGTCTCAAAAGCTATTGCTATGGAAGGGTTTGGGAAGTCCATAGAGTCAATAAAACAAAGGACAAAGTGAGAAAGCAGTCAAAAGAGATGAAGAGGCATCTTGCTAAGGAAATAGATTGTGAAACATTACAGAATAAAAATTAAATTGGAAGCAACAAAAAATTGAAAACCCAGTTCCTGACATGGAGGAAGTCTTGAGGTAATCCCACAAATGGAGACAAATTAGACAAATATTATGCTAGTTATAACGAAGATCTACCTCGAGTGCAAGGATTCACTAAGAATGGATGTGGAGTAGAGAAATCAATAAATGGAACAATAAAAATGTTCTCAGATATAAGATGGAAAATTTTTCCTAACATAAATCCTCAGATTGAAAGATTTCTTAACAATCAGAGCAGAAAAATCCAATTGTGTAAATGATCAGTTTGGCTTCTGATTTTTGTGGAGCAATATTCAAAGCAACAAGACATTGGTATGCTCTATTTTTGTTTTCATTCTGTTGTTTTTAAATCAAATCTGACAACCTTTGCCTTTTAATTGAAATGCTTAAATTAACTTTTAAATAAAACTCTTTAAAACTTTTTATTTTCAAATACTTAGAGATTCATAAAAAACTTGCAAAAGAAGTGCAGAGAAGTTTAAAAGAATCCCCTGTATCTTTTGCCTGCTTTCCAGATGATTTTTAATGTGATTATTAAGTTGTTTCTATTGCTATTTTTTATTTTCCCATTTATTCTCTGCCTCCCTTTCCCTCTTATTCTGCATCCTTTAGCCTTAAACTTCATTTTTATTTTTTAAATATTAATTTGATTTTAATTCCAGTGTAGTTAATATTCAGTGTTACACTGGTGTCAGGTGTACAGTATAGTGATTCAGCACCTCCATACAACACCTGGTGTTCATCTTGGCAGGTGCACTCCTTAGTCCCATTACCCATTTCATCTATGCCCCTCCCCACCTCCCATCTGGTCACCATAAGTTCTCTATAGTTAGGAGTCTATTTCTTGTGCACACTGTCTCCCTCTCTATTTTCCTTTGCTTGTTTGTTTTTTCAATTAAATTCCACTTATGAGGAAAATCATATGGAATTTGTCTTCGTATGACTAACTTATTTCACTTAACATCATGCTCTCTAGCTCCATCCAGGCCATGGCAAGATTTCATTCTTTGTGACTGAATAATATTGCACTGTATATATAGCACATCTTCTTTATCCACTCATCTGTTGATGGATACTTGGGCTACTTCAATAAGTTGGCTAATGTAAACAATACTGCTATAAACATAGGGGTGCATGTATCCTTTTGGCTTATGGTTTTACTCTTTGTTGAGTAAATACCCAGTAGAGTGGTTACTGGATCATTGGATAGTTCTATTTTTAACTTCCTAAGGAACCTTGTACTGTTTCCCACAGTGGCTGCACCAAGTTTACATTCTCACCAACAGTGCATGAGTGCTCCTTTCTCTCCACATCCTCACCCACAATTGTTTCTTGTCTTCCTGATTTCAGCCATTCCAACAGGTGTGAGGCAATATCTCATTGTGGTTTTGATTTGCCTTTCCCTGGTGATGAGTGATACTGAGTATCTTTTCATGTGTCTATTGGCCAACTGGATGTCTTTAGAGAAATGTGTGCTCATTATCTTCGGCTCATTTTTAAATGGGGTTGTTTGTGTTTTGGGTGTTGAGTTGTAGAAGTTCTTTACATATCTTGTCCCATTTAGTAGGTTGCCTTTTAGTTTTCTTGATTGTGTCCTTTGCTGTGCAGGAGCTTTTCATTTTAACGCAGTCCCAAGAGTTTCTATTTGCTTTTATTCCCCTTGCCTCAGGAGACATATCTAGAAAAATATTGGTATGGCTGATGTCAGAGACACTACTGCCTGTGCTCTCCTCTAGGATCTTTATGGTTTCGGTCTGACATTTAGGTCTTTAATCCATTTTGAGTTTATTTTTGTGTGTGGTGTAAGAAAGTGGTCTAGTTTCATTCTTTTGCATGTAGTGTCCAGTTTTCCCAATGTCATTTGTAGAAGAGACTTTTTCCCATTGGATATTCCTTCCTGCATACTTGTGCATTTTTAGGCATTACATTTTATCTCCTTTAGTGCTTTATTAGTTATAGCTCCTTGTCTTGTTATTTTAGTGGTAGCTTTAGAGTTTACGATATGTATCTTTAACTTATCACAGTCTTCTTTCAAGTGATAGGATACCATTTCACGTAATGTATAAGAGCTGTAAAATAGTATCCTTCCATTTCTCCTTTCCAAGCTTTGTGCTTTGTCCAGATACATTGTACTTCTGTAAAAACCATTCCATGTTCATATTACTTTTACTTTAAGCAGCTACTTGTCGTTTAAGAGGTTTAAATAATATGAAACAACTCCTTATGTTTACCCATGCCGTGACCATTCCTCATGGTGTTCGTTCCTTTGTGTGAATCCAGATTTCTACCTTGCATCATATTCCTTCTGCTCAAAAGAATTCCTTTAACATTTTTTTATAGTGTAGGTCTGTTGCTGATAAATTTGTTCAATTGTGTATGCATGAAAAAAGTGCTTCATCTCTGCTTTTGAAACATAGCTTTGTTGGATAGAGGCCTAGGGTTGGTAGTTTTGTCTTTCAGTAATTTACATATATTCCTTCATTGCCTTTTTACTTGCATCACTTCCAAAAATAAATCTTCTGTCATCCTTATCTTTGTTCCTTAGTACACAATGTGTCATTTTCTTTGACCGCTCTTAAGATTTTCTCATTATTTTTGGTTTAGCCAAGTTAGTTATAATAATCTTTGGTAATTAAAAAGAATTTCTTGTGCTTCAGTTTTTGAGAACTCCGTAGGTCTGTTGACATTTTTCACTAACTTTGGAAATGTTTCAGTTATTCTCTCAATTCTTTGTCTTTCTTTTTACATGATTTGTCTTTTATTAGGGTAAGCTTACTTCATTTCAAAGACCCATCATCAACTATTTCTTGCAATATTTTTTCTATACCATTTCTTCTCCCCAGATACTTCAGTTATGTACAGATCAGGTCACTTGACTATATTCCACAACTCACTGATCCTCTGTACTTTAAAGGTTTGTGTTTTATATAAACCTCTTTCTGTTGCTATGTCTTCAAGTTCACTAATTTTTTCTTCTGTGTACAATGTTTAATATGCCATTAATGCCATTCAGTGTATTTTTCATATTAGGCATTGTTTCATCTTCTAATCCCTCTCTAGATGCCTAATTTGGAATGCTGTTTTATATTTTTCTTTTTTTAAATATGTTCAATCTTTCTTCTGGGTTCTTGAACACATGGAATACAGTGTTAATGTCCATTTCAAACTTATAGTCTATTAATTATATTTGCTGTGTTAATTCTGAGTCAATTCGAAATATATTTTTTCCACTTTATGGTTGTTATATTCCAGCTTCTTTGCATACATGGTAATGTGTTATTCTATACTAGACATTTTGTGTTTTACCACATTGGGTGCTGAATGTTTCTGTATTCTTGTAAGTACTCTTGCACTTTGTTCTGAGCATGGTTAAGTTACTTGGAATTGGTTTGATCTTTTGCTATCCTATTTTGAAGATTTGTTATATAGGGCCAGAGCAGCACTTAAACTAGGGTTAACTTTTTATGCCTACTGATGCAAAAGTCTTCTGAGTACTCTCTAGCTAATCCTTTGTGAGTTTTGATGCTTCTCACTCTGCTTGGTGGGAGCAGACACTATTTCTGGCCCTATCT